GATAGATTCGATGTAAGCGAAAAACAATTCAGAATTTGTTTTGTTTCGAAATTATATATATTGTTAGCTTTTGATAATCAAATATAAATCAAACACCCAATTGTATAAGCAATATTGTCTCCTCAATAAAACATATATAATGGATTTAATAAGCCTTGAGTTTTTCTCTTATAGCATTGCATTAATATTGCGGTCTTAATTACTTAAGCGGTCTTTAAATTAAAATTTCCGCGTTTCTAGTCACTGATATTAAATTGGGGTTTTATTAACACTCACATATTATTGTATATGGAACGTGTTTTTAATATCATTCACATATGTATAACTGCAAACCATTGAAAATCTTTTTTTGAAAAATTAAAATTATTCTTAATATGTTATATTATATTAAAATGAGATTTATTAGGGAGTTTCTATACCGTTTATCTATGTATAAATATGTTTTAGAAACAAAAAATATAGAATATAGAACATTGGGAAAAACTTTTAATTAAATTAAACTGAAATTGAATCAATTTAGTGTAAGCATTTGTATCTCAAAATTTGATAAAGCGTAAGACACACGTTTTAAATATAGATTATAAATATATATGTATATACAAATATGGATGTGGGCTAAGAGTTTATCTCTTTTAGTTTTTCATAAAAATTTAAACGAAATATATATTTTATATTTAATATACATAGGTTATGCATATGCCAAATATATTTCTGCTGTTCAAATAAAGCAAAAAGATAACTCTTATTTCATCAATTAAATATTTAATGAACTCAATATTTAAATAATTTTTTATAAACTATATTTTTAAAAGAGCACAATATTAAATTTATTTATTTATTTAATTATTATTGTTTTTTAAGCAGATTTATTTAGATTTTTTTAATAAATTTAAGTATTTATAAAACTCTAAGAATATATAAAAAACACATTAAAAAATATTGAATTAATCATTGTGAATAAATGCAAATAAAATCTACAAACATACTAATAATATGAATATAAAATATTTATGATAATTTATTTGAATTAATAAATATGTATATTAATAAAAAGAAATTAGCATAAATATTACCAGTATATTTCTATATTCATTTATCTTTGCATTTGCCCAAGAAATTGTTCAAACCTCGCTAATTAACATATTCTCATTTCCAGGAAAAGGTGCGACTGTGCTTTGGGGCGCACTTTTAATTGTTGAAATGCAATTTGTGAAAGGTCAAATTTGTTTACCTTTTACTCACATCTGACCATGTGTAAAAGTTGTTCAAGAGTTTCACGTGGTTCAAGTGGTTAGTAATGCAATTACACTAGAAACGCAATTAAAGTCCCAAATGTCACTGGAAAGAGTATTGCAGGTGCGGCTTCCCGCTTATGGATAATTATTGTTGTTTTGTATCACAACACATTCTCTGAGATATTTGCTCCTTTTTTTGGGGGGTCACAGCCACAAATTTCTGCTACCCATTACTTTAAGACTGGCTTAAATTATGCGGCTAATTAATTGGGCGCTTTGCTGAAAATACCAAAATTAATGGCAACAATCAACAACAAGCCCGGCGACGTCAGAGGCCGGCAAAACGAAATTAGAACAGAGCATAAGAAGACGGCTCCTCCTGCATGCAGGTATCCCATTAGCTGTCTCATTAACAGTGGGAGCCCGCCCTTGGGTAAAACTGCCCATAACTCTTTCAATCACTACTCACATATGCTCTCTTACGATAAGATCCTCGGTTGAGAATCTCAACTTGAAATGTCTCATTTACTAAACTGACTGCAGTCTGAATAATTGATAAGAAAATTTATTCGCCTCCTATTATTCTTCTACTTCTATTCTTTACCTTTGTCAGTCTTGGCTAAACTTGTCTTCTCTTTCTTTTATCTGCAATAAATTCGCAAATCAATCTAATTAAACTAAGCAAAATAAAACCTTTAATTAATCTTTTGTAATTGCTTGAAGCCAGAACAGTCAAAAAATCTCAATAGTCATTTGCAATAAAAACAAAATACAATTTAAGCTAATCATTTTTTAGAATCAATTCTAACATCATTTATTTTCATACTCAATCACCAAGATAAAGAAAATATTGGTTTTGTACGTCTTGCCGTCCGACTATTTATCTGTCCGCCTGAATGGCGGAATGGATGTTTCGCCGCCATTGAACCTAGAGGTTGATATTTGAAAAGCAACCTCGGTTAACAACCCAAGAGAATAAATATATATATAAATATCTACTGGAAAAGGGGGGTAGAAAGGGTAAGAAGCTTAATTGAATTACTGTTGACCTGCTCTATTGATTTGGCAAAAATGTTTTATACATATGTATTAGAGTCTTGGGGAATGCTTTGGATTTGTAGGAGCTAAATTACTGCAAGCTGCTTTCTAACTTTCTCAACATTCAACTGGGCTAATTATTGTATTTCATTTCATAAGCAAATCTAAGAATGTAAATGCAGCACTATTCGCTCTATGTCTGGACTCTGAAGAAAATGGTCTTTTTAATAATCAGGTAAGTCCTCATTATATGGGGAAGCCTATATACATATGTACGTACTAAGTACTATATACATATAGACCCTAGACCCTAGAGCCTATAACCTACTGCATGTTCTGTGTGTCTGCCTCTATGGGTCCTATTTTCAAAATATAATATTCATTCGAAATGAATTATAAATAATCGAAAATTAGTTTTGCAAATGAAAACACTATACTAATTCATTTTCGTGAATGAGTATAAACATTAATTTTGTGAAAACACATCATAAGTTTTAGGAAATTCATTCATTCTACGAAATTTATGTGTATGTAACACACATGCATATATGTATGTAAATGTGAATTTCTAGTAGTACACACTACTGTGGACTATTCGAATTTTGTATTTACATACATACATATACATATGTGTAAATAAATGAATTTCGTAGAATGAATGAATGAAATTTACTTATTAATTAATTTACAATATTGATATTTCATTTCCTATCTATGGGCAAATTGTTCAGATAGTTTCTTCTAAAGAACGCGCTCATTCAATGGCTCTCAGTAAATGAATAGAATAAATGAATTAAATACAAATTTACGTGTAAAATATTGGTATTTCTTCTCCCATCGATGTGGAAATTGTTCGGATAATTTTACGTAGAGTACATTCAATTCGTTTCACTAGATCCACAACTTGGTCGATTCATGAAATCTATACGTTTCTCGATAAATTCACAATTTAGGACATACTTAGATGTTAGTATGATTAAACAACGCTTGCAATGTAAACATACTTTATGCATGTACACAGCGTAGAAGACAGTTTAATGTTCGCAAGTTGAAAATTGGAAATTTTAGATAGCTCCCGCACTGCTCGGATGCTGATTAAAGCAATTTACAGGAATGGGTCCACGACATGCAGGCGTGCGATGTTTGGCAAGTAGCTGGTAAATATTTAATGATTCACCAAAAACCGCAAACGGTTTCTCTTCTAACTGGCAGCAACTGACTGTGATCCAGCCAGTGCAATTGGTTAAGTGCTGAGCACCCTAGAGGGCTGACGGCGAGAACATGATGTGCGCAAATTTATGCACACAAGCAAAGAACGAGCTATATACATACGCCTAAAATTTAGATGTGTGTGTTTTTATATATTTACACATACGTATACATACATGTTTGCATATGCATGTGAAACCACAAACCGTATGCGATTTGCATAAACAATAAGCGTTTGCAAATGGCCTATTTTATGTGTAAGCCATTGGGCTTTAAACCAATTAACTATCAATAATAATTAATGCGCTGAAACTTAATAGAATAAACACCATGTGGCATAGCCCTGGGCACCCACGTAATGTGTAAGGCAATTAAAACGGAAGCTTACACAGTTAAGATTAGGCCAGGAAATACTTGAAGGCCATTGAATATTCTGGGTATAGGCAAAAGCTTAGTGTTATGGCTGGTAAGATAAGAAACTTTAATAGAGATTTACATAATAAATATAAACTTTGTTTGCTCAATTTTACTGTCTTATTGAACATTTTTCCTGACCCTCATATCAAGCAAAGCAAAGCATTGGTGAAGATGTCAAACTTATTAAGGAAAAGCTTAGTCGAGAAGTTGATCTATTTCTCTAAACATTAATTAACTACATTATATGTACTTAATTATAACAATTCAAAATTGTTCAACTTGTTTGAAATGGGGCAGTTGCCTTGATGGTATTTCAGGCATACTTGAAGCAGTTTCACTTAAATGATCGATATTTATCGATTAGAGCGATCAAAAACTAATTTAAGTCTGCACTGCGTACGGTAGAACGGAATACATATTACGCGAGAGTTCATATTTGAAAAAATTAAAGCAATAACAAGTGCTTGATTCGAGAATAAGTGATTTAGGGAAACCCTGAACCTTGAGCAATACTGATACCATAGGAAGAAACACATATACACATATACACACACTCATAAGCACACAAAAAGATACTCTCACAGACCCACAAACTTTAACATAGAAATTGAATTGATAAATTTTTGTTAAACGTCCAGAGTTACCAATTTGATAAGGTATAGTCTTTTACTATTTAAGAACATTTTTTTAATTTTTGTTCAAAATCTGTTTATCACGCAGTATTTATTTAGTCTACATTTTGTGATACTCAAAGATCACTTCAAAAATATAATGCAATTAGAAACTACTATCGATAATAAGGAAATGGGATGAGCTATAATGAAAGGAATGATAGAGCCTGCGTATTGTACAATATACAACAGTGAAATTATCTATTATACATAATAATATTACGTATACACACACGATCTGGAGCAGTCAGAGAAACGGACATGGGTATAATGAGTCTGCTCGTGACACTGCTTAGGAATCCATATACTCTATGGAGTCTGGCGTGTCTGAATTCCCATAATACCATAGTACAATATTCTATCAATTTGAAATAAGTAATAAATCGCTGGTCATGATACCTCAAATATTGAAATTAATAATTGAGCTTACCACACAGAACTTCTCGCTCTTCTTGGTGCACTCCTTGAGATACAGATGTGCAATTTCCTTGGAGTAGTTGGTGCAGGGCGTTATGGAGCCCACGCCCTCGTTGTACTGACCGCACATGTGGCACTTGAGGCCATCGACAAGCCCAAAGCCGCCGCAGCAGAGCAAAATGGCGCCCAACAAGAGGAACGCCCATGGAGGACCCGAAAGTGGCGAAACAGTTGCCCGGCTGGCCTTGGGCAGCTCCACGGCTGAAGCGACCTTCGCAGCAGAAGCAGAAGCATCAGCACCAGCTGCAGCTGCAGCAGCGGCAGCGGCATCGGCATCGGCGTCGGCAGAAGTGAAGGCGGCTTTCGTTGACATTGCTTTTTGGTTAGCGAACGACATTTTCATATGAGGTTTAACCTTTGACAGGGACACCAGATGCACTCGCACGCACACAAGCACAGCAGACACGCCCACTCGCAAATATTGCAATTGAGCTATTTTCGTACACTTGATTGTTTTTGTTTCTGGCTCTTCTCTTTTTTTTTAGTTTTATGACGTTTAACGGGTCTTTGATTATATTTTGCGGTCAGCTCGATTTAAGTCTGTTTGAATTTTACAATATTTAACGGGTTTTGTTAACCTTTAAATAAAAGTATTAAAAAAACTTCTTTATAAGATGAATTGAGTCTACCATATCTCGGATTTGTGTAACTTCGATTAGTTAATTTCACATTGGTATACCATAGCTAATATACTTTTCTTTTTATTTATTTTTTTTGAAAAGTTGCATCCATTTAGATTTAGTATATCTTAACAATTATGAACCAGTTCCTAAATCCCAAATCAAATATAAGAAATGTTTTGCTAATATAAGCCGGTCGGTATAAGTAATTTGACAATAATAAATATATTATTTTATTTGTTTATACAAATAATTCCTTCAGTTTCAATTAGCTATATATAAAATTTAAGAAAGAAAACATTCTTGATAGGCATTTAAAAGTTAAAAAATTATAAATATACTCATTTGGTTTGGTCAAAATACTTATGTGGACCAGTGTATAGAATAGAATTTTCCAACTGACCAATCTCTAAGTGTTTAAGACAACTAACCATCGATAGGCTGCTGAAAGATTTCTAAAGATTTGTAACTTGATAGGTTTTATATTCTATATGGATATTACAAAGTTATGATACACTCCTTGATAGTCTCTATATACCTAATTAAGTCTGAGTGAACAGAGTACATCAGTATAAATGTGTTAATAGCACTTCTAAGAGATACAATATTTGAAGCTTTCGATGGTCATTCTCAGCGAGAGTATTTTGGTATATAGGTTTCTTAATATCTGTTCAATACATATATATTTATATATATATGAGTCCGTATATCCATATATCTATAGATATATGAGTCCGTATTCCACTATATAGAAAATAGAAGATTTCCAGCTCTATGCTTGTTCGCAGAGTGAATAAAGTCTTGTTTAAAGTCTAGCATAAACGTAAGGCACTTTGTCACTGATACGTCGGTTGATATATCTTTCATGATACATCCGCCTCCTGCAGCATATTCCTCCTACAGCTGAATGCCAAAGTTGAACTCCTTTTCTCTGTATATGTTAAATGCAATCATTTAACTTGCATTTGATACTTGATTTTGTTGTTTCTATCACAAAAGTTTGATATTAAATGACAAGCAGTTGGGGTAAATGGAGAGTGGGGAATGGGTAGGGGCTAAGTGTGCAGAAGCAAATCTAATGTTACCACTCGGGGTGGCCAGATGCTGTCGTATTTATGCCCAGCTCACGAGCAACTAGGCCGCGTTCCAAAAGAAATTCCCACACAAAAATTGCTTTCGAATTGCTTTAGTTGTAACCGAAAGTTGTTGGAACTTTTACGTGTGCTCTAGAGTGGGAGCGGGGCTGGGGCTGGTTGATGGTGGGCTGAGACCTTAAGCTGAAGCGTTAACTATTTCCACAAAATTTAACTCAATTTGGAGGAGTACTATTTTGGAGCGTAGCAGCAGCAGGAGCAGCAGGAGCAGCAGCAGCAGCAGCAGCAGCAACTTTTTGTGCTCGGTTTTCTGCTGCATACTTTTGGGGCTTTGATTTGATTCATTTGATGCGGAAAGTGGGGCAGGTGGTGTTAAATTTTTGCATAGAAGAGTGACCGCCACACCACGCCCGCCACGCATTCAACTGCTATCTACTGCTGTCCACTGCTGCTGCTGCAGCCAATTAACAAATTATTTTTAATTAAACGAACGAATGCGCGCCATGGTTCTTTTTTCTGTTTGTTTTTTTTTTTTTTTTTTTTTTTTGTATTTTTTATGTTGCATGAAGGGCGTCATTTAAGCTGGCTATCCGCTGCTGAATACAACATATTGTGGTACACCAATTGGTCAGTTCTTAGTCCTGCTCAGTCTGCGTGATTCGTGTTAACACTTCCCTGCGCCCCGTCAAAGACAACACAACTGCAGTTGCCTACTTCGAGTGTGTGCCAGAAGCTGCTCGTCCGCTCGAAGCGTGCGCCGCGTTTGAACAGAATTCGTCGACTGAATCAACAAAATTTTGGCCATCGAACATGTCTCACGACGGACATTCGAGGGCTCGTTCCGCAATCGTGCTCGTGTTCCGTGCTCGTGCTCGCTATCCTACGTTCGTATTAGATGCCCGAGTGATGCAGTTTGAACTGATTTCAAAGTTCAGCTGATCATTTCATTCATTTGCATTTACAATTAAAAAATAATAATAATAATTAAAAAATGAATAGTACCAGGTACCGTATATCATAATTTCGTAAGTTACAATTTTTCATTTTCAGTTTTTAATATCCTTTTGAATGTAAATATTATATATTTGTAAATATGCATGATTATTGACTAAATATTGGAAAATCGTATAGGTAAATTCCATTTTCCAATTTCTGTTGAGTTTCAGTATTAAACGTGTTTCCATTTCTAATATGTATTTATTTATATTTGCATCTGTATAAACGCACAGGTGTCTAATCTTCAAATTTATCAGGATATTTGATTTACTTTAAATTCACAAGGCAATTATGTTAATATTACTATACAAAGTATATCCGTGTCCCCTGTACCATTGCAAATATTTACCGTATAGTATATCGCACCACTTGTAGATCACACCTCTCAACACTGCACTTGAGTTAATTGATATCACCTATAGTACTATTCAGCTTTATTATTGATTTAAAACATATATCCCTAAGATTACTCGCAAGTTAAAACTGTTTGACCACAGAATTTTTGATACAATCTTAATATTCTTGAATTTTCTTTTTAGCGGCATTATTTTTTAAAGATATATTACTTATTGACTTTTTCTTCATATCGATCCATTATTATTTGAGTCTGTTCTAAAGAAATCTAAATATATATAGCCTATTGCATTTTTGTTCAAATTTATCCATCAATAATTTTCATATTTATATATATATTTATATATGTACATATGTGTATAGAACTATGCCGTTTTGTCTTCAGCTCGCATAGCTGCAAATTCATCATTTTAGAAATGCTGCAGTTGCACAGGCAAAGGTAGCCTCGAACATGTTTGAAGCACGTTCGCATGTTAAAGCACTGTAAGTTAACAGACAAATATTAATGTGTTAAAAATCAGCAGAGTTTCACACCTTGGCGAATGTACTTGCTATAAATTAAATTTTCAGCACTGGTTGTTGTCTTGGCTTACAGTTTGAACCAAATTGAAAGCATTTAAATTTCATACTTTAGGAATTTAAATTGTAGTAAAATAAATCTGGTACTTTCACTATTAATAACCCCATTTGTTGTAGTCTATATTGTATATTATTTTATATTATATATTCAGCTTCTTATTCTTTGATGTACGTGGAACAGAAGGTGTTTTATTTCTCAGTGCAAATAAAATGATTTCGAAGAATTTGAGTCCACAACAATGATTTATGGTCCAATCGATCGAAGGCGATGCGATAGCCACATTTATTATACGATCTGCCATAAATACGGTGGCTAATTGATGTACTTTGACTAGGCGCCTAAGCCAATATGATTTGTTGCTTCTGGATCCAGTCGACATAGTTGGCCACCTTGGTGTAGACGCCGGGATAGGGCGCCACGGTGCAGGGCTTGATGCTCCAGGACACGACGCCCACCTGCTGACCGTCGTGGAGCAGCGGACCGCCCGAGTCGCCGCTGCACTGACCCTTGCCGCCCTCGTCGACGCCCCCGCAGATATGATATGCGGGGTCTGTGGAGCCACCATGGCGGGCGACACACTCCGTATCCGAATAGACCTTCAGGTGTACCTGCTGCAGTGTGGTCTGAATAGAGCCGCCAGTCTACGAAATTAAATTTCAGATATGAGACACAGATAAAGTTCAGATAAGTTATAGCTATACTCACTTCATTTAGACCCCAGCCAATTAGTGTGCCGTCTCCGCCCTCGTTCCCCTGGGGCGTGACAAAGTGTAGCGCTGGCAGCCGGACAGGTGCCACGTTCTTGTCAAACTTGAAGGGCACCTGCACCTGGAGCAGAGCTATATCGTTAGCATAGTTGTTGTATGGATTGTAGAGCTCGTGCTGAATGATGCGCTTGACGCCCACCACGTTGGGTCCGTTGGCTGCGATTTTCGTCACTCCGTACTGCACGGAGAGCTCCGACGCCTGACGTCCGGCCGTGCAGTGAGCCGCTGTCAACACAAACTGATTGGATATAATCGAGCCACCGCAGGAATGGGAACCGCTTGGACCGCGCAACGAGATCTGTGAAATTGGGAAGAAGGTACTCATTGCAGACAGCTAGATCCATGTGGAGGTCCGACTCGTACTCACCACGAACGGATAGTTCTCTACTGCGGCATCCGTCCCGTTGACCACTCGACCCATTGGAGGTGCACCATAGACGCTGCCGCAGGTGAATAGCAGCAGTAGAAGCGCGCACAGCTGTTGCCCGGACGATGTCATGATTAGCAATTGGTCGATTAGACTCTAACTGGCAGGCGGGCGCTGCGACTAGCGTCTTTTATAGACGGTTCCATTGGAGTGTGCTCTCGGGCGATACGGCACAAATTTACGGCCTGCGATAACTGCGCTATAAATTTTAAAGTTTTTGGTTCGTTGCTCTATCCGATTTACAGTTTATAAATCAGACTGGATTGGGTTTTACTCAATGATTCAAATACATTTCGAATTGTATTGCAAATCTAATCAATCAATTAGCCAATTGATCAATCAATATGGATAGAATTTAATCACTCTAAGCTTTTGTTGTTTATAGCAGATTAAAGTCCTTTGAAACTAACAAAAACAGGGAATAACTTCAGATCGCAAGAATCGAGAGGTTGTTTAAAGCTAATCTAGTAGTATTTAAAGTAGTAACAGTAAAAATCTTAAGTTTTCTTTATACGAGTGTAGAACTTAGAAAGTTTATTGTATAGGGTAGTTAGCAATAGTTTGGATAGGTATTTATCGACTTTTATATACTGAATCCATTGAAAATGAGAAATCAAATAGTTTTGGGTAGCTCCATAAAGCGTAGAAACGAAAACCATTTCACTTTTCACTATTAATGCTAGGACTCTGCAGTCGCTAACGCTCTATTCGTTTCAGCTTGGATTTTACATCGTATTTCAGATTAACTAGGACTAGAATGCAAGGATTTTTCCATTTTCTGGTTTTAAGTACTACCCCTATTTCTATTTTCCTCAAATAGATTTTCGATTTGGCAAATACAATCATAATTATCGCATTCTAAAAGCTTTATTATGAAGGTACATCTACAAGAATAGTTAATCAAAAAATAATTGTTACGTCAACTGCGCAATTAGCAGAGCGTGTGCTTATGCGCAGGTGTGTATGTATGTGTGTATTCTGTTAAAAGCGTTACGTGAAATTGTAAATGAGTCAATATTATGCGATCGTCAGTGTAGCAGCTGTAGCTGTTGGAGGAGGCGTATCTCTGTTCGACTGATCGCTCTCCTATGCTCGTCCAGATGCGCGCCTAATGTTGCATGAATATAATAAAAGTAGTACTAAAATTTAATCTAGAGAAGTGAACAAGAATTTCGGTTGCATACGCATAAGAGAAATGTATTAGCTCTTTGCATCTCTGGATCATTAGAGATCCTCTAGAAATCCAGTCCATTATCACATTCAGGTGCTTTTCTAAGATGTTCAGCGTTATCTTTATTTTGTCGAGAGTGCAGCACTTATAGAGTCGTTTATGGGCACATCGTTATGGGCAGGTGCTATGGGCACAATATTTGTGTTCTTAGAATATGTAAAAAATTCAAATCAACATTTTTCACTGGATCAAGAATTAGAATTAGAATATTTAAAATATTATGAATTATCGATTATGTTTCAGACAAGCATTCGATTATTTTAAATAAAGGGAAAGAGAAAGGGTTCATGGTAACACTTGAAGCCTTTAACTTTTACAGATTTTGAAAATATCCATAGATTAACGTATCATGACACCTGTAAGCGTAGTGCGGGAGAGCATTGAAGGATTTACGATGATGCCCAACGTCATTCCAACAATTATATACAGATGGTCAAAGGACCCGGGCTAGGTAGAGTCAGCTCGTCTTGCTATTTAAGAACATCCATGACTTCTGAGGTCTTCCATAGATATTTCCATCCGTTACTGCCACACTGCAAACCATCACAAAGAGGAATTCACTGCTGCCTCGGGAGACTTTAATATAAATTTAAGTAAATTTTGTAAGTCGTGCATTATTTTCCAATCAATCAGAACTTACCCATTGCCACACATAGATACAGCAAATAAAGAAATGCGGATTCACATAGATCTGCTTTAATTTGAATTGATGCTTGACTAAACCATTTTAATTAAATTAATCACAATGCATAAGAATAAATAAACGTGTGGCCTGATATCCGACAGAAAGTGTGGCACAGTTGCTGGAATGTGAGACTGTATAAAGAATGCTTAACGGAATGCGGATGGACACATGTACGTTCAACGTTTTAGTCACAAAAATTTGTAAAGTATTAAATTTGATTCTAACCAGAGGGTAAAGCCAGAGGGTATGCCTTAACGTATACATAAATATTAACAAATGTTAGCCACAGGTATTAGAATACGTGAGTCAGCTGGGCCCACACACAATCTAGATTATACACTATATATATAAATCAAACTACGCTACCTCACGAATCGATGCTGAGGGCATCTGTCTACAAAAATACACTTAACAATCGGATTCGACTCGCTACTGAATAGTGCAGCTGCGTACCGTTGACATCTTCTGTTCCTCGTCATCCAGGTGCTTGGCGCTCAGTATACTCTTGATGCTCTCAGCCTCCTTGATCCAGAACTCCAACTGAAAGGGAATTAAGATTGATAGGAAACTCATGTGGAAACTGGAGCAGGAGCTAACCTGTTGCAGCAGCAGGTTGCGTCGCTCGCCCTTCGGCTCATTGTTCACAAACGGCACCAAAATGCCCAGGGCAGAGGTATACGACTCCAAGGCGGCGTCCAGCTTGCGCTCGTACAAGTACAGCTCGCCCTGCCGTCCGATTTCCAAGCCAGCCTTCAGCGAGGGGCTCGAGTTCGATAGGGCAACTGAAATTCGTACAATGTTATTTTCAGGGAATTTCCAATTAAAACATCGATGTGATAATGGAACGTGAATTGGTATATGTAAAAGATAGCGACTGAGTGACTAAGCAGATTACTGTTTGCTAATTGTCATTGCAAGTGGTCAGCTTTCGATAGCCACTCCCACCTGTGGATATCTAATCAGTTTAGAAATATCAAAGGTTTTCCCTAATGCTGCGTGCTTAGTGATAATTGTTTCGTGGTAACTGCAATCAGGATTAAGTGAGATCTCATACAAAGCTGCTTATAGCGTGCATCCGGCTCAAGCATTTCCATCATGCGGGATGTGCTTGGCTGTGTCTGTGGATTGGCAGCCTCGGGGGCTGTGGCAGCGGCGCCTTTCTCCAATGCCTTCTGCTGACGCTGGGCCAACAATTTGTACTCGTCCTCGATGATAACGTTTTTAATCTCCTCCGCGCGCTTCATATAGGTGAGCGCTCGATGGCGTAGCTCTTGGCGCCGGCTGGCGTCCGATTCCTCGGTGATCAGCGGCACAAAGTATTGCAATGCGCTGCAATACAGATAATAGGCCTCCTTGTAGTTGCGCTTTTCATCGTGCTCGACCGCCTGGGTAACCAGGTCTATGGCCTTCTTCATCGTTTTCTCCGAGGGAAAAGTCTTGAGATCTAGAAAGGGATGCGCAAAGAAATCCGCAAACGAAATACGTTGCGCCGGCTCGTGCGCCAGCAGGCGCCGCAGCAAATCGTGGCATTCGTTACTGATGCGCGCATTCGGTGGCAGCACAATGGGCTCCGCCTTCCGGATGCGCAGCAGCAGCTCCTCAATGGTGCGCGAGCTGTACGGCGCCTTCCCAAACAGGCATTCATAGAGAATGACGCCCACGCTCCACAGATCCGCCTTGGCGTCGTACTGATGCTTGCGCACAATCTCTGGCGCCATGTACAGCGGCGAGCCCTTCAGCTGCTGATTGATCTCGCCCAGCTTAAGGTGTTGCGCAAACCTAGTAAATGTAAAGAAAACTGTAAATAAAAGGCTCCAGTCTCATTCGATCACATACCCAAAGTCCGCAACCTTCAAGTAGACATTATTAGCGGTGCGCGTCAGCAACAAGTTCTGTGGCTTCAGGTCAAAGTGCGAGACATCGTTGGCTCGCATATATTGAATCGCCGCGGCCAGCTGCCGTAAGAAATAGCGACATGTGGACTCCGGCAGCGCCTTCTTTGTGCGGATGAAGGCGGACAGATTGCCCGCATTACAATACTCCAGTACAATGTATATGTTCCTGAGCAGGAAGACGAGAGGAATATTAAAGAGTTTTTAAATACCCAATCGAATACACCATTTAACCCACTTGTCATCCCAGAAGAAGTCCTGCAGCGTCACAATATATTTATGTTTGAGGTCGCGCAGCAGACGAATTTCCGTTATTAGATTGTCGCGAGAGCTTTGGGACAACGTGGACATTTCCACATACTTAATGGCGTGATAAGTGCCTTGTTTCTAAAGAAATATAGAAAGAGGGAGAGATAAGTTGATTCGTGGAAAATTATTCAATTCGTGGGCTTACTTTATGGCGCGCCTTGTAAACAGACGCATAGCTGCCCACTCCAAGCTTCTCTTGTATGTCATAGTCTGTTATTCGCGGCAGTGTCATGATTGAAAATTATTATAAGGCCATTTATATATAGGAAGTTTAAGCTAATGCGTTTTCGAATTAAATTATTGCTCTATAATTAGAAAAAACCATAACAATACATTTGACAGTCACAGCGATTGATAACACTCAGCTGATTGGCGCGGAAATCGATTGTGCGCAACATCTATACATCTGTTGCACAACAGTTGGTCCACCGTTCCGTGCAGTGCAACAGGGCGATAGTTGTGTCAACCGATGGGCAGCACTTTTGTGATTCAGTGTGTTTGTTGTTGATGCGTAGCTCAGCAACAGAATTTAATTATTTTGAGGTAAATAAATGGATAACACAAGTTGGAAGTGCGCAAAACAAACAATGGATTATCTTTATCTGGATGCCACACAATATAATTGACACGCAGCGGACCTTGGCCTGCAAATCTACTAGCAAAAGCTGTGTACTCAAGCTGGGCTTCTCATGTGAAGCAGACACACCCATAATAAGAAATTAACATGACACGCCCGTTAATAAAGTTATTGAAATGTTATCACAGCTTCTGTTCTTCCATTTTGCAGCTGCTCCTTGTGTAGTGCTTGAATCTCCAAACATATTTCATTTCGTGACGTCACAGAACAAGGCTTCAACATGAATTATGGTCGCAAGACGCCTTCGACCTATCGATCGAATCCCTCGATGTATTCCCATGCGACGGGCAGGTAAATCAATACATACATATAATTATGAAAATGATTTGTAAGTGATGTATATATTCAACTACTTTTCAGATCTTCTACAAATTTGCACTCGAAAATGTCGCGCTCCACGCGAAGCGTTCGCATTCCATGGTACCAGCGGCCGCTCCTGAAGAACAACCAATACATCGATATACAGAAGGGAGCCATGCTGATTGGCCTGTTCGCTGTGGTGAGTTCCGTGGTTTGTTTGTATTCGCGCGCTTGCTGATTCGAGTGCCTCCCTCTGCAGTTTCTTTCGCTCTTCACCATTGCCACCACGATCTTTGACATTTACTGCTATGCGATGGCCGCCCCAGGATCCACACATTACGGTTACTATATTATATCGTACGAGTTTGTCTATGTTGGAAACAAGCACGGTATATATGCGGTCATTTATCTGTTCGAGAATTACGTAAAGCCTCGCTTATTTTCCAGTCCGCAACATGCTGATCGTATTCGCCCTCTTCTCGCTTATTATGGCCCTGGTGAACTTCGTGACCAGCATCCTGCTGTGCGTGGCCTTGCGTAAGGTAAGCTAAAGATTTAGCTTAAGTCTTTTCGTTTGGCTCTGCCATTTTCACTTTCATTTCACACATGCGTTCAAGCAAGAAAAACTTGGAGCACAGAAACGCTTACTGAGCAGAAGGGTAACAAAAAACATCCAACATAAAATCATTTAGTTTAGACACCTCATTAATTAACAAAATACAAAGGAGCTCTATTAACATAATTTCCGAATTCTTGCAGGAGTACGAGCGGAAGGTGATGCCCTGGCTGTGGAGCTTTGCCATTTTCACCATTTGGCGCGCCTTGGCCCTCATCTTCTTTGCCATTGTCAACGATCTGTACTTTGCTTACAACATCATAATGGTGCTGCTCTGGAGTATCTTCTGTCTGGTCTCCATCTACGGCTGGGCCGTTGTCTATTCGCTGTTCCTGGAGCTGGTGGACTTGACCAAGCTGGAAGATTTGGCGCACTTGCGCGTAAGTCTTATAGTTTATCGAATAGCCAAAGAGTCTCTGTTAATCCTCTCATCCTTTCAGATGGGCACCATGGCCTCGCTGCACGCCTCAACAGCCAACTCGCTGGCCGGCTCTCGTCCCACAACACCCCACAGCACTGTATCCACAATGCCAGTGGGTTAACAGTCGTATTATCGCACATTAAGCTCAATAATCCCGTCCATTAGAACCCATTTAAGCCATGGTTAGGCAGGGATTTATGTGTAAACATTCCATATTCACCAGTTGCGTGCCTTAGATGCGTTCAAACCATATCAAAAACGAATTGCGATTGCAAATTTTTATACATACACATATGAATCTATATAGTGTTTAAGCCTCATTCCGTCCACTTACAGACATTTTAATTTAATCGAATATTTTTGTTATTGCTGAAATCTCTGTCATAATATGTGTTTACCTGACTTATTTTTACTCACACATCCACCGTCCAATATACCAATATTTTATGCAAATTATTTTATGAAAATCATTTATCAAAAATTTTATATCTTTAATAAATTTCAAGGAACGTATAAGAATGACGACAGTAAAAGCTTTTTTTTTATCGTTATTATACATTTTTATTAAATTAACGTTAAGTAACTAATTAAAAACCTGAAATTATATTTTTTAAATTAATTGTGAAAGTTTTTACAATCCAATTTTCGCAATTAGAATCAATATTTAGTATATTTTCATTTTACGCTGCGGTCGGTCACACTGTAAACAACGGCTTAGAGGTGCCAGCTACAAGACAAGACAAAGCAATTAGCTTTTGCGCGTCAGCAATGATAATAATGAGCATCGCCATAGCAAAGTGGGGTAATTACAGTACAATCCACACGCATGCACACATGAATACAAATACCACACACAAAGAACGCTCGTACACGAGCCAAAGTTCAATTAACTGTGGCTGTTTCATCAAAGCGCACATAAAATGCTTTGTTTAATTTTGTTAATTTCTTAATATCTCAGGCCTCAAATACATATGCGCAGACAAGGAAGCTATTTGCTTCTGCAACTAACTTTCGCTCGTATGTGGTGTATTTTAAATGCATATGCATTTATGCCATACGTGCATACAAACATATATGTACATATATATGCATGTATGTACATACATACATATACATTTGCTGGTCTCGCTCAGCAACTTATTGCTACGTAGTTTCACGATATTCGCAGTTAAATATATTGCGCGTCGTTGTCAAATCCTGATGGATGTGCGTGTGCGGCTCTCCCCATGTTTTGCCACTCATTGTTCACTCGCAGTTGTGTGTTGATCGCTGCAACGGTACATAAGACCGACTGACCGTCTCGCACCTGTCCAAGTTGAATGCCCCAAAGCAGAAGAGCAGGAGAGAGAATCCATCGAGTGCTATTTCTAACAGTGCTCAATTTTGTTCTCAGCACGTTTCTCAACCTTGCCTTAATATTATTTTTCCTGTCAGTCTTCTACGCAGTGGCGTTGCTGCTTTGTGCTCGGACCATAACTGCGCATTTCAACTGAGGCAGTAATATGGTTCGCTTGTATCAGACCTGCCAGACAGATATGAAGTATAAAATGCAACGCTACCTCCACTCCCCACAGATTACAGACGCCTGTCTGTTGTTGTTGTTGTGCGTGGGGCGCGTCGTTCACCTCAGTAAAACACCCCCACAAGCTGCTGTTGCAGCACCAATGGTGAGGCGTACATATATACATATATATATGTATGTATGTGTATGTACGTACACATACACAACATATCAACACGTTTGTTTGTCTATGTTTGGCTTTTTGTGTTTTGCTATTGCTCTCATTTGCTGTTAACTGAGTGCACGCAACATTTTCACCACGACAGCTTTCTGCGCGGTTGGTGACTAATTGTTGTTATTGCTAAATTTTGACTTTATTCAACAAAACAATGTTTTGTTTGGTTTCGTGCGATCCTAAGCTGACGAAATCAAGTGCTGCGTCTCTTCTACTCTTTCTCTCACTCTCATTCGTTAGGCTTCGGCCTCAGCTGTTGTATGTGCATGACAATATGTACATATGTATGTATGCGTACGTACAAGCACATGAAACAGGAAATTATTTTCGTTTTCTATAGAAAAGCTGCTGTTGGTAGACTCTTATACATTCATACATACATATGTATGTACATATATCGCCATGCACACCAATTTAATCTATTCGGTTTATTTTTAAAGCTATACATGTACATACGTAACAATCAAACGAATGATCGTATACATATGTATGTATGTACACTTCTATGCATATTGTTTAATATTGTACTCACAAAATAAGTAAGCTGATTTAAAGCTTATTCAAGGTTCATACAAGAATACAAATACGAACATGTACATATGGGCGAGAGTCCCTCAAAACCACAGTTCATTAACAGGGACATACATATGTACATATGCATATGTACATACATATACATATATACATACATATGTATGTATATGCATATGTGACATCGATGTTTTTGTAAAATTTAAAATATATTTCTAGTCTGATAGACATGTACATATAAAAATAAGCCTAATTAAAGACTTAAATGTCCAGGTTTCTATTACGTTCTGTTACTTTCTGAAATAATAAAATCTAATTTGTATTATTAACTTTTTTAATAATATTAAATAATTTATATAATTATATATGTACATGTATAATTATATACATACATATGCATCTATATACGCACACGCCAATTCCGTTTTATTTCTTATCGTCCAACGCATTTACACGTTGACGGCTAAACAAAAAATGAATGGCATCACTAAGATACTTAGCTATATATATATGTATGTATGTATGTATGTATATATGTAAATATACAAGGATATAAATCCCAGCATAAATACATGCATATGTACTTATAAATCAAACAAATTTTAGCCAACAAAATGTTAACCTGAGAAACTCACCACGTAGCACTATTACAACATACGAGCGAATTTTATGTTATTTCCTGATTTACTTATAATAATTATTTACACGTGTACAAATATATAACTTTTATACATATACATAATGAATTAAATATAAAATACACATAAATGTATATACATACATATATGTATATTAACATATTTCATAAAAGTGCGCAGTTTGCATTGATGACGCAGCAACAAAAACACAATGGCAATGCCAACAACATGACAATAACAGCAACTGCTCTCAATCTCAATAGCTCTCAGCCTTGCTCTCTCACACAGTTGACGTGTGGCTACAATATGGCGTCGTCGGAACTGTGTCGTCGCTGAATTTCCATTTCAAAATAACAATTAGGAATGTACATAAATGTACGTATGTATACAAATATGTATGTAAGTAAATATGAGTTCTTAGCCTCTTCGCTTCTCTGTAAAAAAAATAAATAGATGAGTACATATAACAGCAGTTTCATGATTAAATGTTAAAAATTCGCTCTCCATCCTCTCTTTTTCGTGCACTGCATTGGTCTCTGTCTCTATAAATGGTGTATGAATGTGTGTGAATGTGCAGGTCTGTAACTTGTTACAATCATGATACCCTTGAGAATGGTACTTTTATTTTGACATCAAGTGCGATACGCATTCAATGAAACAAGTTTAATCATATATTTACATACATACAGGTATGTATGTATGTATTTTCTATATAAAATATCTCGAACATTCCAGTCTGTCTGAATGGCAAAAATAATTTATATTATTATGTATGTATGTAGTATATATATTTTTTGTATATGGTACCTAAAGAGAAATAAAAAGTCTACTTTATTTTCTGAAGTTCTTAAAAAGATTAATTGAACTGAAGATCTCACAGAGCAGCAATTCTAATATTTATAATTTAATACTTCGGTGTACCTTGAAACTAGGCACTTATTATTTCAGTGTTTGTGTTTTCGCAAGAGCTTTTAGTTTTCGTTGGTTGTTATTCAACAACTTAAATTTGGCATGGCAGAATGTTATATTTTCATTGCTGTTTTATCACTAATATGCGCTGCAGCCATATTACGTATATTCATATAAACATACATACATACATACATAAGTGCGAACATACATTCATACAATATTTTCTTGTATGTTTTTCACCATATGTAAGTTCTCTCTTGTTTTTTATACACATTTATATGTACATATGTATGTGTGCATTACTTTGCTCACACTTCCGTCAATGTTTAAGTGTATACATACATATATGATTTTGTATACATGCATGCATATATACATATGTACGTCTGGTTTATTAATGCTACGCTATTCAACTCGCTGTTAACTTGCGCTGTTAAGTGACAAAATAATGAATAATCTCCTAGAATACTTTTCTGTGGACAGGTAATAAATATAAATGTGATATTTTGCGGGACTATGTTTAAATATGTAAAATCTAAAATTGATGAAAGAAAGTTGTAGCATTGCTAGAAATAAATTACTTTTTGTGTTAACATATTCTGCAGAGACAACAACAGTACATTTTGAGTATAACATACCCAATTTCATTTTTACTCGACTGACTTGCGTTCTGCTTCGCCGTTTCATTCGTGCGTTGAACCTTGGAGACTTCACATCGAGTTTGGAGGATCAAATCCACGTTGGGTTTTGCTACAACTACAACTGTCATCCACAATACAATACACGCGCTGTGTCTCTGTCTGCTTCGCTAGCTGGCTTTGTGTCTTTGTGTGCGTGCGCGCCGTGTTGATTTGGCATAATTTGTAAATGATTTTACAATTTTTGTTACAAAAAATCGTCGAGCGCTCGTCAAGCCAATCGGGTCTATTAAATCCGCGCCAGCGTTGCTGCTAACGTCGTCGTCGTGAGCGTTGTGTGCAAGAAAAATTTAGTTTGTTTAAAATAAAAAGAAAGTTAACCATAATTTGTGATATACTTACATATTTAATTTGTATTTGCCCCTGCACTGTGCAATTCCCCACGAAAAGTTTATAATTGATCAGAAATTTTTACATCTGTATTATTTGTGAAAAAAAAAAAAAAAAAAAAAAGGAGCAAAACCAACTAAATCATTAAAAAAAATTCAACTGTGATTCAAACGAAACTGGCGTTTTTGTTTTAAATGCTTAACCACTTGCAATAAATTGAAATTACTACAAGAAGCTTTCAAAGTAAGTGCATAACTTAAGCGTTTCTGATGAAAAAATTATTAAATTTTCGCCTACGTCGTCGTGACACTCTCTCGCGCTTATTCACCACCATTAACAGCTAAATTTCAACATGAGCGCAGCATTGAGCTCACCACTCATACTTATTCTCTCTCGCTCTTTCACACGCGCTCACACAAGAGTATCCATCCATGTGAGATTGTGTGTGTGCCTTTATATGCAATGTCATAGAACAGACGTTGCCATGTCGCGTAAAACAAAATAAATCGCAGTTCAAGCAAAGAAAATGAATGCCAAAGTCTGATAAAATAGTAGTAGACAAAAACAACAGTGCTCGTACATACTGCAATCAATGTGTGGGCATACATATATTTATGTATATTTGTGTGAATAACGTACATATATATACATCGATTCAACCGCAAGCTTTAACCTTCGCATTTTATTTGCACTTAAATATGTGTATGTATGAGTGCACATACATATACATTGACGAAGTGGTCAAGTGTGGTTTTGTTTAACTTTTATTTTCGACATTTAGCAGTATTTTTTTAGTGATAAAACTTTCGCTATAATATCATTCGTTTTCTCCTTGCCAAAATATGATCAAGGACGTTGGTGGCACTTCAGCTTATTTCAATTGTCAACTCACAATGTAAATCAATTTCCAGTGATGTAAAACGTTAAACTTCACTTTTCTTTTGCTTGCAATTACTTTCCATACACACCCGCACACTCATACGAATATGAATAGCAGAATGCAGTTCATGATTAGAAATTTGTGTGCTGTTCTCTTTCTGGATGAGTCACCACCACGCATACATTTATGTAAACACACATACACATACGAACATATATGCATGTACATTTGCGTTTGGGCGAGTCACAGCACAATAAGTCAGCAATAATATTTGCCTGACACGCATTATCTATTATTTCTTATCAGAGGCAGAGGAGGCGCATCACATTTATGAGGGCACACAACATTTGTTTTCTATGAGGGCATATATTTTGTTTTTTGCTGCCATATGCAAATCCAATTGACACGAATTCGTGCATACGTGTGTGCGCCCCTACGTATGCATATTCTCATATGTGCCCATATGTTGATAGATGCGTCTGTGTATGTGTATGCGGTGCTAGAATTTTACTCATGTGTTGCTGGGACGTAGCGATAGATGCCTTTTTTTGGCCTATCGATTATCGTTGCATCGATATATCTAATGTTGTTCTTTTAGAGGGAAGAAAAAGGGAATTTATTATTATTTCTATATTAAACTAATATTTAAGCAGAGCTAAGCTATATTTTCACTTGCCCAATAGGTAGCGTTCATATGCTAAACTCACTTTTTTGTTGGGCGTTACGAAAATCTCGAGCTGCTGATTAACACTTGATTACATTATTTGTTGTGTGTGTGGAGCCATAATTAATTCTAAATGTGTAGGAAAATATATTGAGTTAAAGAACAGGCTTAAAGAGACGTGACGAACAGCAAAATATATAAAGATAAAGAGAAGGTTGTTTCAATTAGTAATAAATATGAAATATAGATTAAAAAATAATAAAAATTATTATTATATAAAAAAAAAATTAAACTAAATTAAATAAATAAATAAAAAAAAAAAAAAAAAAAAAAAAAAAAACTCAATTATTAAAAAACACAAAGGTAAAAAATAAAGAGAAATAAAAAAAAATAGAGGATATGTATAGGATATGTATTTTTTAACAAAAGTGTTTCATATTGTTTGTACATATTGACTGTACGTGTGTTATATGAGTGTTTCAATTGTTGCAGTAGACTTCTAATCGTGTTTGTTTAGTATTTACTCAGCCCGCATTTGAGTACGGCACGTGTATCGAGTCTGGCCCTTATCGCTCTTATTATTACTCTGTACATTATCGCGATCACGTTTTACGCCACTGTAACAAATAAGTAAAATTATACACGTCGCTACTGTTATAATGAATACATATATATAATATTTATATAATATGTATATGTTTTGAATGAACACAATTGATCAATGCCCATGTTTAATTTTTAATTTTAAAATATATAAATAATATGCATATCCTGTAATCAATTCAGGTTCAGTCAAGTCCTAGTCCGTGTACCGCATTCCCGCTTACATAGATTCAAGATTATGAATGCAAGCGCATATTTATTGCCATTAATTACCTGTAATACCTAATGTGTATTTTACCCCGGAAGTCATTCGAATGGGCTTTCCGTTAGCTGTGCTTCGAAATCAATTGGAAATCAAATCGAATTGCGATAATGTTTAATGCATTTCATAAGCACACATTTAATTTAATAATAGGCAAATCAGCTAATCGACTTGTAAGTATTGATTCATTCTTGAAATAATATTTAAATACATCTGCTATATACACCATGCAGTTCATTGCTCTATAGTCGAGTGTTGGTTAGCCTGGGTTCGAGTCCAAGTCCCCGAGTGAGCGAACTTTAATGAACTTCAAATGCTATGACTAATTTTCAAGAGAATTCGGTTTTGTTTACCATTCGAAAGTCCATAAACAACAGTTGTCATTATCTGGCAGCCTCTCGAAAATGTATAATATATATGTATATATTTTGTTTGCTATAAATTTATGCAAATTGTATTACACATTTCCCATTAAGAAGATGGCTACGTATATATGTATCTCTATATACATACGCTTTACATACACATTCATGCACACACAGACGTGTCTATCTATGTATGTGTAGGTGTGTGTATGTGAAGTCATGATGACGAAGGCAAAACAAATAACAAAATAAAAACAAACAAGTCCCCGCTGTCGTCAGCGTCTCTCGTTCACATAGTATAATATTTGTAGCTCTCTCTGAACTAATTGCTGACACAGGTCTTGTGATACTCTCTCTATTTTTAAATGGATATTAAAAAAAGAAATTTGTATAAATACTTAAAAATATACAAGCTATAAGACAGACGTTATATATAATTATAAAATTATAATATATTTAATTTACAGGGTAGTTACAAGTCAAGTACTGCATATATATTTTTGTCAACTTGCGCTTTTTCCCTCCCGCATCTGTTTTTGTCTCTCTTGTACTCACATACATATAAATAGATGATAAGCGCGCGTCATCGTCGGCGTTGACTTCGACGTCGACTTCGACGTCGACGTCTGTGTCAGCTGCTCGGGCCATCTCTTGCCTTCGCCGCCGCTGCCGCCGTCGCCAACATAGCGACGCGTGGATGGCCACGACCTCATTTTTTGTTGGTCTGCTGGTTTGTTTTTAGGTCGCGTGTAAATGGTTCTACTCCGCCGTTCGGCCGTCCCGCACGACGCAATACGCACTAACTGTGATCGCTGTCTCTGTCTCTGTCTTCTCGCACGCCCTCTGACTGTGGCTTTTGCACTGCCAGCAGCAGCAGCAAAACAACAATAAAGCTTAGCATTATTGAAGTGCTTTTGTGTTGGTGTTCTATAACTGCTTACTAAATGAAAATAGAGAGAGAGAGAGAGAGAGAGAGAGAGAGAGAGAGAGAGAGAGAGAGAGAGAGAGAGAGAGAGAGAGAGAGAGAGAGAGAGAGAGAGAGAGAGAGAGAGAGAGAGAGAGAGAGAGAGAGAGAGAGAGAGGGAGTGCTTATTAGTCTAGTACAAAGTGCATGTGCCGTTTGCATGTGTGTGCTTGTGTTATTTTCGTAGCTAATGTCATTTGACAAATGCTGAATGATGGATTGAAATGTGAGCTATAACCGCCCATTGGGGAAAACCAAACAATAAAATTTTTTTGATACCTACTTGTATTTAATAACATTAATAATGCATTTATTTTTTTTACATGAAACAACATAATTGAACATTTTTTGAGCTTAGGCAAGCATTGCACAGTGGACGACGTCGGAGAGTTTCGTTGTTTGATTCTATTAAGCTATTTTTAGTGCTTAATTCTCTCTGATCAATACAGATGAATCTTTGTATAATTGTATAATCGCTACAAACATCGCTGTATCTCAAGTTTGTGTTTGCTTGCTTATGCAATTGTTTTCCGTTTCTATCAATGTATTTAACTCAATTAAGTATAAAGGCATATGTACATATGGCATTACATTTACATACATTCATATATACTAGGTGGTAAAGTTGCTTTTATTCTGTATCCTTTTAAAATCTACCTTGCAGCGCAAATTTTGAAATTGTTTCACTTGGGGCCTATTACGGCCTTAACGTAAGTAATCGATTGTTGTCTTTACCCTTGACATTCAGTTCGATTAATAATGATGACATCGAATAAAATATATTACCGCCCCGTTATATCCGCTAGCCTTCTGAAGTGTCTTCCAGTGTCCACTTTGACTCCATCCGTGGAACTTGTGGAACTTTAATGCGTAAAACGGTTGCCCAGCACCCGCCCCAGCGACCAGCTTTAATTTTGTTTGCTTGTCTTTTTTCTCACCACAGTTGAAGCAGCGCTGTGCTGCATTGGTATATTCACCACATTGCCTTGCTTCTATGGCAACAGTCAACTCTCGCCTGTACCGTTAGCGAAGGCAGATGAAAAGCGAAACCTTTGCTCTTTTTTTTTTTTAGTAGTTTGCCTGTCTGCCTTCCTTTTGGCTTTTGCATTGCTTCTTCTTTGTCGTTTTCGTACCCTGACGAATGCCTCGCCCTGGTCTTCTTTGTCTCTGCCTTTGTGGTCGCGTCTCCTGCCTACAGTTCATTGCCTTAGAATACAGCTATGTGTACGGTTATGTATGTATGTATGTGTGCGTACGCATGTACGTATATATGTATGTATCCGATGTAATGTGTTTAATGAATATCAATGATATGAACTTTGTTCGCTCTGTTGTCAATGACACGCCCCCAACTCTGCTCTCCCACAGAGCTGACGTCAACGTCACTGACTCAGCTGGCAGCTGTACGCCGTAGCCTTCAGTTGTTGCTGCAAAGTTCAAGCGACAACGGCAAAGTTCAATAGCACAAAAGAGGTTGTCGAAAATATATACCCGTACATATACAT